TGTGGGTCTCTGTGTGGTGAGTCTGTGGGTCTCGTGTGGTGAGTCTGTGGGTCTCTGTGTGGTGAGTCTGTGGGTCTCTGTGTGGTGAGTCTGTGGGTCTCTGTGTGGTGAGTATGTGGGTCTCGTGTGGTGAGTCTGTGGGTCTCTGTGTGGTGAGTCTGTGGGTCTCTGTGTGGTGAGTCTGTGGGTCTCTGTGTGGTGAGTCTGTGGGTCTCTGTGTGGTGAGTCTGTGGGTCTCTGTGTGGTGAGTCTGTGGGTCTCTGTGTGGTGAGTCTGTGGGTCTCTGTGTGGTGAGTCTGTGGGTCTCTGTGTGGTGAGTCTGTGGGTCTCTGTGTGGTGAGTCTGTGTGTGAGTCTGTGGGTCTCTGTGGTGAGTCTGTGGGTCTCTGTGTGGTGAGTCTGTGGGTCTGTGTGGTGAGTCTGTGGGTCTCTGTGTGGTGAGTCTGTGGGTCTCTGTGTGGTGAGTCTGTGGGTCTCTGTGTGGTGAGTCTGTGGGTCTCTGTGTGGTGAGTCTGTGGGTCTCTGTGTGGTGAGTCTGTGGGTCTCTGTGTGGTGAGTCTGTGGGTCTCTGCTGTTGGTGAGGTCTGGTGGTTCTCTCTGTGTGGTGAGGTCTGTGGGTCCTTGTGTGGTGAGTCTGTGGGTCTCTGTGTGGTGAGTCTGTGGGTCTCTCTGTGTGGTGAGTCTGTGGGTCTCTGTGTGGTGAGTCTGTGGGTCTCTCTGTGTGGTGAGTCTGTGGGTCTCTCTGTGTGGTGAGTCTGTGGGTCTCTCTGTGTGGTGAGTCTGTGGGTCTCCTCTGTTGTGGTCGATTGGTCTCTGTGTGGTGAGTTCTGTGGGTCTCTGGGTGGTGAGTCTTGGGTCTCTCGGTGTGGTGAGTCTGTGGGTCTCTGTGTGGTGAGTCTGTGGGTCTCTCTGTGTGTGAGTCTGTGGGCTCTCTGTGTGGTGAGTCTTGGGTCTCTCTGTTGGTTAGTCTGTGTGGTGATCTGTGGGTCTCTGTGTGGTGAGTCTGTGGGGTCTCTCTGTGTGGTGAGTCTGTGGGTCTCTCTGGTGTGTGAGTCTGTGGGTCTCGCTGTGGTGGTTGAGTCTGTGGGTCTCTGTGTGGTGAGTCTGTGGGTCCTCTCTGTGTGGTGAGTCTGTGGGTCTCTGTGTGGTGAGTCTGTGGGTCTCTCTGTGTGGTGAGTCGTGTGGGTCTCTCTGGTGTGGTGAGTCTGTGGGTTCTCTGTGTGGTGAGTCTGTGGGTCTCCTGGTGTGTGGGAGTCTGTGGGTCTCCTGTGTGGTGAGTCTGTGGGTCTCTGTGTGGTGAGTCTGTGGGTCTCTGTGTGGTGAGTCTGTGGGTCTCTGTGTGGTGAGTCTGTGGGTCTCTGTGTGGTGAGTCTGTGGGTCTCTGTGTGGTGAGTCTGTGGGTCTCTGTGTGGTGAGTCTGTGGGTCTCTGTGTGGTGAGTCTGTGGGTCTCTGTGTGGTGAGTCTGTGGGTCTCTGTGTGGTGAGTCTGTGGGTCTCTGTGTGTGGTGAGTCTGTGGGTCTCTGTGTGGTGAGTCTGTGGGTCTCTGTGTGGTGAGTCTGTGGGTCTCTGTGTGGTGAGTCTGTGGGTCTCTGTGTGGTGAGTCTGTGGGTCTCTGTGTGGTGAGTCTGGGGTCTCTGTGTGGTGAGTCTGTGGGTCTCTGTGTGGTGAGTCTGTGGGTCTCTGTGTGGTGAGTCTGTGGGTCTCTGTGTGGTGAGTCTGTGGGTCTCTGTGGTGAGTCTGTGGGTCTCGTGTGGTGAGTCTGTGGGTCTCTGTGTGGTGAGTCTGTGGGTCTCTGTGTGGTGAGTCTGTGGGTCTCTCTGTGTGGTGAGTCTGTGGGTCTCTGTGTGGTGAGTCTGTGGGTCTCTGTGTGGTGAGTCTGTGGTCTCTGTGTGGTGAGTCTGTGGGTCTCTGTGTGGTGAGTCCTGTGGGTCTCTGTGTGGTGATCTGTGGGGTCCTTGTTGCTGATCGGTGGGTCTCTGTGTGGTGAGTCTGTGGGTCTCTGTGTGGTGAGTCTGTGGGTCTCTGTGTGGTGAGTCTGTGGGTCTCTGTGTGGTGAGTCTGTGGTCTCTGTGTGGTGAGTCTGTGGGTCTCTGTGTGGTGAGTCTGTGGGTCATCTGTGGGTGAGTCTGTGGGTCTCTGTGTGGTGAGTCTTGTGGGTCTCTGTGTGGTGAGTCTGTGGGTCTCTGTGTGGTGAGTCTGTGGGTCTCTGTGTGGTGAGTCTGTGGGTCTCTGTGTGGTGAGTCTGTGGGTCTCTGTGTGGTGAGTCTGGGGGTGCATTGGAATTCCGCGTCCTCATCTGTCTCCCTCTCTCTCTGTCTGTCTCTCTGTCTCTCTCTGTCTGTCTCTCTCTCCATCTCTCTGTCTCTCTGTCTGTCTCTCTCTCTCTGTCTCTCTGTCTCTCTGTCTGTCTCTCTCCATGTCTATGTCTCTCTCTCTGTGTCTGTCTCTGTCTCTCTCATCCATCTCTCTGTCTCTCTCCATGTCTCTGTCTCTCTCCATGTGTCTGTCTCTCTCCATGTCTCTGTCTCTCTGTCTCTCTCTCCATGTCTATGTCTCTCTCCATGTGTCTGTCTCTCTCCATGTGTCTATCTCTCCATCTCTCTGTCTCTCTCCATGTCTCTGTCTCTCTCCATGTCTCTGTCTCTCTCCATGTGTCTGTCTCTCTCCATGTGTCTATCTCTCCATCTCTCTGTCTCTCTCCATGTCTCTGTCTCTCTGTCTATCTCTCCATCTCTCTGTCTCTCTCCATGTCTCTGTCTCTCTCCATGTCTCTGTCTCTCTCCATGTGTCTGTCTCTCTCCATGTGTCTCTCTCTCTGTCTCTCTCTCCATGTCTATGTCTCTCTCCATGTGTCTGTCTCTCTCCATGTGTCTATCTCTCCATCTCTCTGTCTCTCTCCATGTCTCTGTCTCTCTCCATGTGTCTGTCTCTCTCCATGTGTCTATCTCTCCATCTCTCTGTCTCTCTCCATGTCTCTGTCTCTCTCCATGTCTCTGTCTCTCTCCATGTGTCTGTCTCTCTCCATGTCTCTGTCTCTCTGTCTCTCTCTCCATGTCCTATGTCTCTCTCCATGTGTCTGTCTCTCTCCATGTGTCTATCTCTCCATCTCTCTGTCTCTCTCCATGTCTCTGTCTCTCTCCATGTCTCTGTCTCTCTCCATGTGTCCTGTCTCTCTCCATGTGTCTATCTCTCCATCTCTCTGTCTCTCTCCATGTCTCTGTCTCTCTGTCTATCTCTCCATCTCTCTGTCTCTCTCCATGTCTCTGTCTCTCTCCATGTCTCTGTCTCTCTCCATGTGTCTGTCTCTCTCCATGTGTCTCTCTCTCTGTCTCTCTCTCCATGTCTATGTCTCTCTCCATGTGTCTGTCTCTCTCCATGTGTCTATCTCTCCATCTCTCTGTCTCTCTCCATGTCTCTGTCTCTCTCCATGTGTCTGTCTCTCTCCATGTGTCTATCTCTCCATCTCTCTGTCTCTCTCCATGTCTCTGTCTCTCTCCATGTCTCTGTCTCTCTCCATGTGTCTGTCTCTCTCCATGTGTCTATCTCTCCATCTCTCTGTCTCTCTCCATGTCTCTGTCTCTCTGTCTATCTCTCCATCTCTCTGTCTCTCTCCATGTCTCTGTCTCTCTCCATGTCTCTGTCTCTCTCCATGTGTCTGTCTCTCTGTCTCTCTCTCCATGTCTATGTCTCTCTCCATGTGTCTGTCTCTCTCCATGTCTCTGTCTCTCTCCATGTCTCTGTCTCTCTCCATGTGTCTATCTCTCCATCTCTCTGTCTCTCTCCATGTCTCTGTCTCTCTCCATGTGTCTGTCTCTCTCCATGTCTCTGTCTCTCTCCATGTGTCTGTCTCTCTCCATGTGTCTATCTCTCCATCTCTCTGTCTCTCTCCATGTCTCTGTCTCTCTCCATGTCTCTGTCTCTCTCCATGTCTCTGTCTCTCTCCATGTCTCTGTCTCTCTCCATGTCTCTGTCTCTCTCCATGTGTCTGTCTCTCTCCATGTGTCTCTCTCTCTGTCTCTCTCTCCATCTCTCTGTCTCTCTGTCTCTCTCTGTCTCTCTGTCTCTCTCTGTCTCTCTCCATGTCTCTGTCTCTCTCCATGTGTCTGTCTCTCTCCATGTGTCTATCTCTCTGTCTCTCTCTCCATGTCTATGTCTCTCTCTCTGTGTCTCTGTCTCTCTCTGTCTCTCTCTCCATCTCTAAGTCTCTCTCCATGTGTCTGTCTCTCTCCATGTGTCTATCTCTCCATCTCTCTGTCTCTCTCCATGTCTCTGTCTCTCTCCATGTCTCTGTCTCTCTCCATGTGTCTATCTCTCTGTCTCTCTCTCCATGTCTATGTCTCTCTCTCTGTGTCTCTGTCTCTCTCTGTCTCTCTCTCCATCTCTCTGTCTCTCTCCATGTCTCTGTCTCTCTGTCTCTCTCTCCATGTCTATGTCTCTCTCCATGTGTCTGTCTCTCTCCATGTGTCTATCTCTCCATCTCTCTGTCTCTCTCCATGTCTCTGTCTCTCTCCATGTGTCTATCTCTCTGTCTCTCTCTCCATGTCTATGTCTCTCTCCATGTGTCTGTCTCTCTCCATGTGTCTATCTCTCCATCTCTCTGTCTCTCTCCATGTCTCTGTCTCTCTGTCTATCTCTCCATCTCTCTGTCTCTCTCCATGTCTCTGTCTCTCTCCATGTCTCTGTCTCTCTCCATGTGTCTGTCTCTCTCCATGTGTCTATCTCTCTGTCTCTCTCTCCATGTCTATGTCTCTCTCCATGTGTCTGTCTCTCTCCATGTGTCTATCTCTCCATCTCTCTGTCTCTCTCCATGTCTCTGTCTCTCTCCATGTCTCTGTCTCTCTGTCTATCTCTCCATCTCTCTGTCTCTCTCCATGTCTCTGTCTCTCTCCATGTCTCTGTCTCTCTCCATGTGTCTGTCTCTCTCCATGTGTCTATCTCTCTGTCTCTCTCTCCATGTCTATGTCTCTCTCCATGTGTCTGTCTCTCTCCATGTGTCTATCTCTCCATCTCTCTGTCTCTCTCCATGTCTCTGTCTCTCTCCATGTCTCTGTCTCTCTCTGTCTCTCTCTCCATCTCTCTGTCTCTGTCTCTCTCTGTCTCTCTCCATGTCTCTGTCTCTCTCCATGTGTCTGTCTCTCTCCATGTGTCTATCTCTCTGTCTCTCTCTCCATGTCTATGTCTCTCTCTCTGTCTCTGTCTCTCTCTGTCTCTCTCTCCATCTCTCTGTCTCTCTGTCTCTCTCTGTCTCTCTCCATGTCTCTGTCTGTCTCTCTCCGCCTGCCCTCCGCGCTGGCGGCACGCGCCAGCTCCGCCCAGCGGTACCTCGTGCGCCTGGGCAAGCACGAGCTGGGGCGCAGCGAGCCGGGGGAGGTGAACTCCGCCGTGTCCACCACGCACGTCCACCCCTCCTGGGACGATAACCCCATGAAGGGGTGAGCATCACCCCCATAACCCCCCCTCCCCCCGCACCTCCTCCTCTCCCCTGGAACCGAACTTGTTCGTAAGTAGAGGAGTCCCTGTAGGGAGGCAAGGGAGGGATCGTCCGTGTAGGGGACCGGCTGATTGATGTGGCAGCGTTGATGGGATGCAGTTGCGTGAATAATGCTGTCTGTGTGTGTGTCTGTATGTATGTATGTGTGTCTGTCTGTGTGTATTTGTGTGTGTGTCTGTCTGTCTGTCTGTGTGTGTGTCTGTGTGTGTGTGTGTCTGTCTGTGTGTGTGTGTGTCTGTGTGTGTGTGTCTGTGTGTGTGTCTGTGTGTGTGTCTGTGTGTGTGGTTGTGGTTTCGTAGGTTCGACATCGCGCTGCTGGAGCTGCGCGTGGCGGTGCCTCTGGGCGCCTCCATCGGCCTCGTGCCGCTGCCGGGGCCCGGGGGGGCCGCGCTGGGGCCCGGGGCCACGTGCGTGGCCACCGGCTGGGGCAGAGTCCAAGGTGGGTGGGGGTCACGGCAGAGACACGCGGAGACTCACAGGGACACGCGGAGACACGCAGAGACACACAAAGACACGCGGAGACACGCAGGGACACGCAGAGACACGCGGAGACTCACAGGGACACGCGGAGACACGCAGAGACTCGCAGGGACACGCGGAGACACGCAGAGACTCGCAGGGACACGCGGAGACACGCAGAGACACACAAAGACACGCGGAGACACGCAGGGACACGCGGAGACACGCAGGGACACGCAGAGACACGCGGAGACACGCAGGGACACGCAGAGACACAGAGACACACAAAGACACGCGGAGACACGCAGGGACACGCAGAGACACGCGGAGACTCACAGGGACACGCGGAGACACGCAGAGACTCACAGGGACACGCGGAGACACGCAGAGACACACAAAGACACGCGGAGACACGCAGGGACACGCAGAGACACGCGGAGACTCACAGGGACACGCGGAGACACGCGGAGACTCACAGGGACACGCGGAGACACGCAGAGACTCGCAGGGACACGCGGAGACACGCAGAGACACACAAAGACACGCGGAGACACGCAGGGACACGCGGAGACACGCAGGGACACGCAGAGACACGCGGAGACACGCAGGGACACGCAGAGACACAGAGACACACAAAGACACGCGGAGACACGCAGGGACACGCAGGGACACGCGGAGACACGCAGGGACACGCAGAGACACACAGAGACACGCAGAGAGATACACAGAGACACGTAAAGACACACAGAGACACGCAGAGACACGCAGAGACACACAGAGACCTGTAGACACACAGAGACCCACAGAGACACTCACAGAGACCCACAGAGACACACAGAGACAGCGAGACAGAGACCCACAGAGACACGACAGAGACACACAGAGAAGCACAGAGAAAGTTGTGTTGTAGAAAAGGGTCGTTGCTTGAAACGTCTTCTAAAAGAGCTCCCATTGAGTTCACGCGGTGTAATTGAGGACCGCGTTGATGCTGTTGTTGTTGATGTTGTTGATGCTGATGCTGCTGTTGTTGTTGTTGATGTTGTTGATGTTGTTGTTGTTGATGTTGTTGATGCTGATGCTGCTGTTGTTGTTGTTGTTGATGTTGTTGATGTTGTTGTTGTTGATGTTGTTGATGCTGATGCTGCTGTTGTTGTTGTTGCTGATGTTGTTGTTGTTGTTTTTGACGCTGCTGTTGTTGTTGTTGCTGCTGATGTTGTTGTTGTTGATGTTGTTGCTGTTGTTGCTGTTGTTGTTGTTGTTGCTGTTGTTGCTGCTGTTGTTGTTGATGTTGTTGTTGCTGCTGCTGTTGTTGTTGTTGATGTTGTTGTTGTTGCTGATGCTGTTGTTGTTGTTGTTGCTGTTGTTGTTGATGTTGTTGTTGATGTTGTTGTTGTTGATGTTGTTGTTGTTGCAGCGGACGGGCCCCTGTCGCCGCAGCTGCGCGAGGCGGAGCTGCCCATTGTGACGTCAGCGACGTGCGCGCAGGTCACGTGGTGGGGCGCGCTCGCCACGGAACGCGTCATCTGCGCGGGCGACTCGCGCTCCGTGTGCAACGTGCGTCACGCAGAGACACGGAGACACAGAGACACACACAGAGACACACAGAGACACACACAGAGACACAGAGACACACACAGAGACACACACAGAGACATAGAGAGACACACACAGAGACACACAGAGACACACACAGAGACACACACAGAGACATAGAGAGACACACACAGAGACACACACGGAGACACACACAGAGACACACAGAGACACACACAGAGACACACACAGAGACACACAGAGACACACACAGAGACACACAGAGACACACACACAGACACACACAGAGACACACACAGAGACACACAGACACACACAGAGACACACACAGAGACACAGAGACACGGAGACACACAGAGAGACACACACAGAGACACAGAGACACACACAGAGACACACACAGAGACACACAGACACACACAGAGACACACACAGAGACACAGAGACACGGAGACACACAGAGAGACACACACAGAGACACAGAGACACACAGAGACACACACAGAGACACAGAGACACACACAGAGACACACAGAGGCATCCACAGAGATCGGCCTCACCCACACACACCCACACACACACCCACCCACACACACTCCCACACCCACACACTAACCCACACACACTAACCCACACACTCACCCACACACACCCACACACACCCACCCACCCGCACACACACACTAAACCATACACTCACCCACCCACTCACCCACCCACCCACTCACCCACCCACACACTTACCCACCCACACACCCACTCGCACACCCACTCACCCACACACTCACTGACCCACCCACTCACCCACCCACTTACACACCCACCCACACACTTACCCACCCACTCACCCACCCACTCACCCACACACACACTCACTCACCCACTCACACACCCACTCACCCACCCACACACTTACCCACCCACTCACTCACCCACACACACACTCACCCACCTACCCATTCACCCACACACCCAAACACCCACCCACTCACTTACCCATCCACACACTCACCCACACACTCACCCACACACTCACCCACACACACACACTCACCCACTCACCCACACACACACACTCACCCACACACACACTCACCCACACACACACACTCACTCACTCACCCACCCACACACTTACCCACCCACACACTAACCCACCCACCCACTCACCCACCCACTCACCCACACACTCACCCACACACTTACCCACCCACTCACTCACCCACCCACTCACTCACCCACCCACTCACTCACTCACCCACTCACTCACCCACACACACACTCACCTACCCATTCACCCACACACCCACACACCCACACACCCACCCACTCACCCACCCACTCACACACCCACACACTCACCCACCCACTCACCCACCCACCTACTCACCCACCCACACACCTAACCACTCACACACCCACTCACCCACACACCCACACCCACCCCACCGATAACCCCACGCCCCCTCGTCACCCTGCCATGCTAACCACCCACCCCCACCCCGTGCCCTCCCCCCCTCCCCCACAGGGAGATTCGGGGGGGCCCTTGAGCTGCCGCGTGGGGGGGGCCGGCAGCGCGTGGCAGCTTCACGGCGTCACGAGCTTCGTGTCGGCCGCGGGCTGCGCGGCGCCACGCAAGCCGGCCGTGTTCACGCGCGTGTCGGCTCACGTGGAATGGGTCGCTGACGTCACCGGGGTAACACCCCCCCCCACCCTCCACACCCAGCCCCCCACCCAGCCCCCCCCGCCCCTCCACACCCCGCCCCCCCCCAGCCCCCACCCTCCACACCCAGCCCCCCCCCCCACCAGCTAAATAGATGGTCAGCTGGTTAGTCAGATAGATAGATAGTGCACTAGATGGTGAGTCAGATAGATAGTGCACTGGATGGTGAGTCAAAGAGATAGATAGTCCACTAGATAGTGAGTCAGATAGATAGTGCACGAGATGGTGAGTCAGATAGATAGATAGTGCACAAGATGGTGAGTCAGATAGATAGTCCACTATATGGTGAGTCAGATAGATAGATAGTGCACTAGATGGTGAGTCAGATAGATAGTCCACTAGATGGTGAGTCAGATAGATAGTGCACTGGATGGTTAGTCAGATAGATAGATAGTGCACTAGATGGTGAGTCAGATAGATAGATAGATAGTGCACGAGATGGTTAGTCAGATAGATAGTGCACGAGATGGTGAGTCAGATAGATAGATAGTGCACGAGATGGTGAGTCAGATAGATAGATAGATAGTGCACAAGATGGTGAGTCAGATAGATAGATAGATAGTGCACTAGATGGTTAGTCAGATAGATAGATAGTGCACTAGATGGTGAGTCAGATAGATAGATAGTGCACTAGATGGTGAGTCAGATCGATAGATAGTGCAAGAGATGGTTAGTTAGTCAGATAGATAGATAGTGCACTGGATGGTGAGTCAGATAGATAGTGCACGAGATGGTGAGTCAGATAGATAGATAGTGCACAAGATGGTGAGTCAGATAGATAGATAGATAGTGCACAAGATGGTGAGTCAGATAGATAGATAGTGCACTGGATGGTGAGTCAGATAGATAGATAGTTCACTAGATGGTGAGTCAGATAGATAGTGCACAAGATGGTGAGTCAGATAGATAGATAGTGCACTAGATGGTGAGTCAGATAGATAGATAGTGCACTAGATGGTTAGTCAGATAGATAGATAGTGCACTAGATGGTGGGTCAGATAGATAGATAGTGCACTAGATGGTTAGTCAGATAGATAGATAGTGCACGAGATGGTGAGTCAGATAGATAGATAGTGCACTGGATGGTGAGTCAGATAGATAGATAGATAGTGCACGAGATAGTTAGTCAGATAGATAGATAGTGCACTAGATGGTGAGTCAGAGAGATAGATAGTGCACTAGTTGGTGAGTCAGATAGATAGATAGTGCACTAGATGGTTAGTCAGATAGATAGATAGTGCACTGGATGGCTAGTCAGATAGATAGATAGTGCACTAGATGGTTAGTCAGATAGATAGATAGTGCGCTAGATGGTTAGTCAGATAGATAGTGCACAAGATGGTGAGTCAGATAGAGAGTCGGATAGTCAGTAGGAAAGATAGCCAGGTAGATGGATCGCTATCGAGGTAAAGCGCTAGTAAGATAGTAAGTCAGCAAGATAATCAGCTCATCCGCTCGCTAGTCAGTCAGATGGATAGCCAGGTAGATGGATCACTATCGAGGTAGAGCGCTAGTAAGATAGTAAGTCAGCAAGATAATCAGCTCATCAGCTCGCTAGTCAGTTAGTCATAGATCGGTATGAACGATGTCGACGATGACGCTAACCTCCCTCTCTATTCACAGCTCGCGTCGTCAGCCACCAATCGCCCGGCCGCCTCTCCCCCCCTTCTGCTGCTGCTCGCGCTGGCTCCTGTGCTAAGTTGGCCACGTGGTGGGTCCATGACCGGGCGAACGACCTCCTGAGAGGTTCGCGGTGGGTCGCGTGGGAACCCCAAAGGACCTGGCAGGAGGATGAAGAGGATGAAGGGCCCGGAGTGGTTCCACCATGGTTCGGAGTGACTTCACCATGGTTCGGAGTGACTTCACCATGGTTCGGAGTGACTTCACCATGGTTCGGAGTGGTTCCACCATGGTTCGGAGTGACTTCACCATGGTTCGGAGTGACTTCACCATGGTTCGGAGTGACTTCACCATGGCTCGGAGTGGTTCCACCATGGTTCGGAATGGTTCCACCATGGTTCGGAGTGACTTCACCATGGTTCGGAGTGGTTCCACCATGGTTCGGAGTGACTTCACCATGGTTCGGAGTGGTTCCACCATGGTTCGGAGTGGTTCCACCATGGTTCGGAGTGGTTTCGGAGTGGTTCCACCATGGTTCGGAGTGGTTCCACCATGGTTCGGAGTGGTTCCACCATGGTTCGGAGTGGTTCCACCATGGTTCGGAGTGGTTCCACCATGGTTCGGAGTGGTTCCACCATGGTTCGGAGTGGTTCCACCATGGTTCGGAGTGGTTCCACCATGGTTCGAGTGGTTCCACCATGGTTCGGAGTGGTTCCACCATGGTTCGGAGTGGTTCCACCATGGTTCGGAGTGGTTCCACCATGGTTCGGAGTGGTTCCACCATGGTTCGGAGTGGTTCCACCATGGTTCGGAGTGACTTCACCATGGTTCGGAGTGGTTCGGAGTGGTTCCACCATGGTTCGGAGTGGTTCCACCATGGTTCGGAGTGGTTCCACCATGGTTCGGAGTGGTTCCACCATGGTTCGGAGTGGTTCCACCATGGTTCGGAGTGGTTCCACCATGGTTCGGAGTAGTTCCACCATGGTTCGGTGTGGTTCCACCATGGTTCGGAGTAGTTCCACCATGGTTCGGAGTGGTTCCACCATGGTTCGGAGAGGTTCCACCATGGTTCGGAGTGGTTCCACCATGGTTCGGAGTGGTTCCACCATGGTTCGGAGTGGTTCCACCATGGTTCGGAGTGGTTCCACCATGGTTCGGAGTGGTTCCACCATGGTTCGGAGTGGTTCCACCATGGTTCGGTGTGGTTCCACCATGGTTCGGAGTGGTTCCACCATGGTTCGGAGTGGTTCCACCATGGTTCGGAGTGGTTCCACCATGGTTCGGAGTGGTTTCCACCATGGTTCGGAGTGGTTCCACCATGGTTCGGAGTGGTTCCACCATGGTTCGGAGTGGTTCCACCATGGTTCGGAGTGGTTCCACCATGGTTCGGAGTGGTTCCACCATGGTTCGGAGTAGTTCCACCATGGTTCGGTGTGGTTCCACCTGGTTGGGTTCCACCATGGTTCGGAGTGGTTCCACCATGGTTCGGAGTGGTTCCACCATGGTTCGGAGTGGTTCCACCATGGTTCGGAGTGGTTCCACCATGGTTCGGAGTGGTTCCACCATGGTTCGGAGTGGTTCCACCATGGTTCGGAGTGGTTCCACCATGGTTCGGAGTGTTCCACCATGGTTCGGTGTGGTTCCACCATGGTTCGGAGTGGTTCCACCATGGTTCGGAGTGGTTCCACCATGGTTCGGAGTGGTTCCACCATGGTTCGGAGTGGTTCCACCATGGTTCGGAGTGGTTCCACCATGGTTCGGAGTGACTTCACCATGGTTCGGAGTGGTTCCACCATGGTTCGGAGTGGTTCCACCATGGTTCGGAGTGACTTCACCATGGTTCGGAGTGGTTCCACCATGGTTCGGAGTGGTTCCACCATGGTTCGGAGTGACTTCACCATGGTTCGGAGTGGTTCCACCATTGTTCGGAGTGGTTCCACCATGGTTCGGAGTGGTTCCACCATGGTTCGGAGTGGTTCCACCATGGTTCGGTGTGGTTCCACCATGGTTCGGAGTGGTTTCCACCATGGTTCGGAGTGGTTCCACCATGGTTCGGAGTGGTTCCACCATGGTTCGGAGTGGTCTCACCATGGTTGGAGTGGTTCCACCATGGTTCGGAGTGGTTCCACCATGGTTCGGAGTGGTTCCACCATGGTTCGGAGTGGTTCCACCATGGTTCGGAGTGGTTCCACCATGGTTCGGAGTGACTTCCACCATGGTTCGGAGTGGTTCCACCATGGTTCGGAGTGGTTCCACCATGGTTCGGAGTGGTTCCACCATGGTTCGGAGTGGTTCCACCTATGGGTTGGAGTGGTTTCCCACCAGGTTCGGAGTGGTTCCCCTGGTTAGTGTTCCACCATGGTTCGGAGTGGTTCCACCATGTTCGGAGTAGGTTCCACCATGGTTCGGATGTGGTTCCACCATGGTTCGGAGTGGTTCCACCATGGTTCGGAGTGGTTCCACCATGGTTCGGAGTGGTTCCACCATGGTTCGGAGTGGTTCCACCATGGTTCGAAGTGGTTCCACCATGGTTCGGAGTGACTTCACCATGGTTCGGAGTGACTTCACCATGGTTCGGAGTGGTTCCACCATGGTTCGGAGTGGTTCCACCATGGTTCGGAGTGGTTCCACCATGGTTCGGAGTGACTTCACCATGGTTCGAGTGACTTCACCATGGTTCGGAGTGGTTCCACCATGGTTCGGAGTGACTTCACCATGGTTCGGAGTGGTTCCACCATGGTTCGGAGTGACGTCACCATGGTTCGGAGTGGTTCCACCATGGTTCGGAGTGACTTCACCATGGTTCGGAGTGGTTCCACCATGGTTCGGAGTGGTTCCACCATGGTTCGGAGAGGTTCCACCATGGTTTGGAGTGGTTCCACCATGGTTCGGAGTGGTTCACCATGGTTCGGAGTGGTTCCACCATGGTTCGGAGAGGTTCCACCATGGTTCGGAGTGGTTCCACCATGGTTCGGAGTGGTTCCACCATGGTTCGGAGTGGTTCCACCATGGTTCGGAGTGGTTCCACCATGGTTCGGAGTGGTTCCACCATGGTCGGAGTGGTTTCCACCTGGTCGGAGTGGTTCCACCATGGTCGGAGTGGTTCCACCATGGTTCGGATTGGTTCCACCATGGTTCGGAGTGGTTCACCATGGTTCGGAGTGGACTTCACCATGGTTCGGAGTGACTTCACCATGGTTCGGAGTGGTTCCACCATGGTTCGGAGTGACTTCACCATGGTTCGGAGTGGTTCACCCATGGTTCGGAGTGACTTCTTCACCATGGTTTCCGGAGTGGTTCCACCATGGTTCGGAGTGGTTCCACCATGGTTCGGAGTGGTTCCACCATGGTTCGGAGGGTTCCACCCATGGTTCGGAGTGTTCCACCATTGGTTCGGGTGGTTCCACCATGGTTCGGAGTGCGTTCACATGGTTCGGAGTGGTTCAACCATGGTTCGGAGTGGTTCCACCATGGTTCGGAGTGGTTCCACCATGGTTCGGAGTGACTTCCACCTGGTTCGGAGTGGTTCCACCATGGTTCGGAGTGGTTCCACCATGGTTCGGAGTGGTTCCACCATGGTTCGGAGTGACTTCACCATGGTTCGAGTGACTTCACCATGGTTCGGAGTGGTTCCACCATGGTTCGGAGTGACTTCACCATGGTTCGGAGTGGTTCCACCATGGTTCGGAGTGACGTCACCATGGTTCGGAGTGGTTCCACCATGGTTCGGAGTGACTTCACCATGGTTCGGAGTGGTTCCACCATGGTTCGGAGTGGTTCCACCATGGTTCGGAGAGGTTCCACCATGGTTTGGAGTGGTTCCACCATGGTTCGGAGTGGTTCCACCATGGTTCGGAGTGGTTCCACCATGGTTCGGAGAGGTTCCACCATGGTTCGGAGTGGTTCCACCACGGTTCGGAGTGGTTCCACCATGGTTCGGAGAGGTTCCACCATGGTTCGGAGTGGTTCCACCATGACACAGAGTGGTTCCACCATGGTTCGGAGTGACTTCATCATGGTTCGGAGTGACTTCACCATGGCACAGAGTGGTTTCACCATGGCACAGAGTGGCACGGCTCTGTTGTCTGGCTCGGCTCGGCAAACAGCCAGTGGAAAAAGAAAAAAAACCCGCACCCGTGCCATGTCAGGGGAATTATTGACAACGAGTGATAGACAGAGAGAGGGGGTGGGAGGGGGGGGAGGTTTGGAGCGGGCGAATGTTTGAAACACATTCCTGCACATTAATGTTTTCCCCATTCTCTGGCTGAGTTAATGAGTTAATTAGTCACCGGTGACAACTCAGGCACCGGGGCTCACGTGACCCGCGCGTTTGCCGAAGAGAATGTTGAGTACGAAGAGAATTTACACTATGAGACATCTCCTTTACCAGTGGCGAAATATAGTAATAGGTTTTTACCCTTTCAACTGGTACAAAAACTGATACCTTTATACAAGGCATCATGTTTGCAATAACCACAACACAAGCAGTCAAAATGCAAACAAAAAGAAACTCTGATTATGATGATAATGATATGCACCGTCCTTGAAGTTGATTGGTCCACGCCCGAGACAGCTTTTCTTAGAGCCTAGTCTCCATTGGTGTTGGACCAGATGACGCCAAAAGGCGCACAACTCAAAGACAGCGCACTATCAGAGTATTGAGAGCTCGGGGTAAGCATTTACACTATGAGACATCTCCTTTACCAGTGGCAAAATATAGTAATAGGTTTTTACCCTTTCAACTGGTACAAAAACTGACACCTTTATACAAGGCATTATGTTTGCAATAACCACAACACAAGTAGTCAAAATGCAAACAAAAAGAAACAACTCTGATGATGATGATAATGATATGCACTGCCCTTGAAGTTCATCTTTTTGTTTGCATTTTGACTGCTTGTGTTGTGGTTATTGCAAACATGATGCCTTGTATAAAGGTGTCAGTTTTTGTACCAGTTGAAAGGGTGAAAATCTATTACTATACGAAGAGAATGTTGAGTGTTGGTTGTACTTGTTTGTGTCTGGGTGATTTGTTTACGAAACCCGGCGACCCGAGTTCGACTCTTCCCCGCCCGCCTACCACAAACACCGGTGACCTGAATTGGTCCTGGGCCTCCCCTAGGTCGACTCAGCCTCAAAATATTACCTCGGTTTTTTTTTCAGTTTCATGTATTTGGTATGGCCCTGTGAGCCATTCGGCTCTTGAAATGCAACTAACAAAAAACACGAAAAAGAAAACATCTTAAAGTGATTTACACCATTGGAACCTGATTTGCCAGTAGCAAAATATAATTGTTTTTTTACCCTTCTATCTGGCAACAAAACTGACACCTTTTTTACAAGGAGTCATGTTTGCATAGACCACAATACCTGCAGTCATAATGCAAAAAAAACACAACTCTGATAATGTACACTGTCCTTGAAATTGATTGGTCCACACCCGAGACAGCTTTCCTTAGAGCATAGTCTCACATGGTGTTGGACCAGATGACGCCAAAAGGCGCACAACTCAAAGACAATGCACCATCAGAGTATGAGAGCTCGGGGTAAGCATTTACACCATTGGAACCTCATTTGCCAGAAGAAAAAATATGATAATTGGGTTTTTACCCTTAAATCTGGCAACAAAACTGACACCTTTTGGCGTCATCTGGTCCAACACCATGTGAGACTAGGCTCTAAGGAAAGCTGTCTCGGGTGTGGACCAATCAACTTCAAGGACAGTGCATACATTATCAGAGTTGTCTTTTTTGTTTGCATTATGACTGCAGGTATTGTGGTCTATGCAAACATGACTCCTCGTAAAAAAGGTGTCAGTTTTGTTGCCAGATAGAAGGGCAAAAAAACAATTATCATATTAAAGTAACTTCGTGCAAACAGAAAAATCCAGGAAATAAGTATAACCCGTAAAAACAAAGTTTTTCACTATAAATCCTTTATATGCGTGGCGGCTAGAGTCCTCTCGTCCTCTGGCTTGAGATGGCTGCCACCTATGGGTCAGATGATTGCATTGCACCATTAAGCAATTGGTAATTAAACATAATATTTTTGTCCTAAAAAGTGTAACATTTTGGAAAAAACATTTCACGAACATTAATTGTCACGCACAACGAGTCTGTGTGCAAAATGTCAGCTCGATTGGATCACGGGAAGTGGGTCAAAAAACGACCGAAAGATTTGCACGGTCCTAAGCAAGCAAGCAAGCAAACTTAATATAAAGGATTTAACAAGTATAACCCGTAAAAACAAAGTTTTTCACTCTAAATCCTTTATATGCGTGGCGGCTAGAGTCCTCTCGTCCTCTGGCTTGAGATGGCTGCCACCTATGGGTCAGATGATTGTCTGCCAGTATTAAGAAATTGGTAAATAAATATTTAATTTGTTTTCCCTAAACAGTGTAAAATTTTGGGAAATTTTTTTCACGAACATTAATTGTCTCGCACAACGAGTCTGTGTGCAAAATGTCAGCTCGATTGGATCACGGGAAGGGGGTTAAAACACGACCGAAAGATTTGCACGGTCGTAAGCAAGCAAGCAAGCACGCAAGCAAGCAAGCGAACTTAATATAAAGGATTTAAAACAGCAAAACCTGCGAGTTGGATGCGTTCGTGTTGTATTTGCGTGTGTCTGGGTGATGTGTTTACAATTGACTTAAAGCTTTCGTAACTGCAGGAATTCACATTTCCTTGTGTCTTTCGGTAAAGTCGCGTGGATAGGTTCACAGGAAATAACAGCAAACTACGACGTTTCGATCACTGTTAATTTTTAGTGATTTTCTGTGAACCCATCAACGTAACTTTACCGATAGACCCAATAAAATGTGTTTACGTTTCTTGTGACCTTTGCACTGCTGTCGTGATTGTGTAGCTGTGTTTGTTGTTGTTGAATCCGATGAGCTTAATAGCTCTTCGGATTCCCTCCTGCGGTTTGAGTAAAGATTCTGATTGAACGCATTGCCTGCAGGTCTCGTACGTTTGGTTTTGACTCACACAGAGCACAGACTAACACAGACAAAGGTGCCCCGTGTAGCCTCCAACAGACTGTTTGGGGCAAGTGCGGTTAGTGAGTAGCACTCTATGAAGGACCTAAAGACAAAGGTCCCCCGTGTAGCCTCAACAGACTGTTGGGGCAAGTGCTGTTAGTGAGTAGCACTCTATATGAAGGAACTAAAGACAAAGGTCCACCGTGTAGCCTCCAACAGACTGTTGGGGCAAGTGCGGTTAGTGAGTAACACTGTGTAGGAACTAAATACAAAGGTCCCCCGTGTAGCCTCCAACAGACTGGTGGGGCAAGTGCTGTCAGTGAAGCTACCTGGTCTGTCGCTCCGCACGAAGCTTCGGGTCTTCTCGGCCACGGTCATCTCCTCCCTTCTCTACGCTTGTGAAACGTGGATCCCTCTAAATGGAGCATCTGCGCCGGTGAGAAACATTCAGGCTGTCACGCCTCCACTCAGATTGAGGCAAGCCAAGTGGCAGCGCATTCTGTGTTTGTTGCAGAGGCTCAAGGTTCAAATCCGAGGTGAGAATCCTCATCGTGGTGGTCGTGGGTCGTGGTGGTCGTGGTGGTTGTGGTGGTCAGTGGTGGTGGTAGTTGTTGGTCACCAAGGTAGAGCCTCACTCTCTCTTTCTCTTAAATCTTTTTTTACGATCAGTGGAAACAAGAAGATGCTCGGTGAATTCGGCACTTTGCTTCGTTCATCATTTTGTAATTTTGTAATTTATTTTTTATTAAATTTCCATTTTTTTACTTTGATTTATTAAACCCCCCACCTCTCGCTCACACTCTCGCTCGCTCTCTCACTCGCTCGCTCTCCCGCTCTCTCGCTCTCTCTCTCGTAGGGATGTCAATTGAGTAGCAGCGAGCATGGGAATCGATGTCCAGGTTGGAACATTACCACGCGGGGTCTAGGCAGTGTTAATACAAACAACTCCAGTGTGTCCTAACTTGTGGGCCACCCTCTACAACAGCGTGAAGAAGAGCAGGACACAAGGCTGCAGGGTGCTCGTCCTTTTATTCCTTCGTTCAGTCCACACTCGACCCCAGACCGTCTCAATCTCGTCCCCGCCAAGGTCTCCCCCACCTTGATACAGCAAATCTGGCTGTGACGGTCCCACCTGATGACGGAGACTTGTGTTGCCTCCGAAACGTCGTGATTTTTTAAAATAATTTTAATTTAATTTTTTACCTACACGGTGACTTTACCGAAAAAACTAAGAGTATATCTCCCTGCCTCCCGCCCGTTCTCTCTCTCATCTCTCCTCGCCTGCTCCTTCCCCTGACATCTCTAAGAACAACAACAACAACCTCTATGTGTCCTGACTTTTGGGCCAGCCTGTATAATAAACACATTCCTGCGGAGGGAGCTGATAGGAACGTCGGGTTGCTCGGTCAATGGCCTGCAGGGTCAACGGCGGCGTGGTGTATTCCGCAAATATGCCCGACTGTGAGGGCGGGCACAAGCCGGCGTGAGTAGGTGAAACGTTGAGTTTTATAAGGGCACCACGGGGTGACCAGCCCCTCCCCACCCAGCCGCACCCCACCCAACCCCTCCCCACCCAGCCCCTCCCCACCCAGCCCCACCCCCCCCACCCAGCCCCTCCCCACCCTCCCCTCCCCACCCAGCCCCACCCCTCCCATTTTTGGATTCACGACGGACGGACGGACACAATAATCCCGTGGGCTGGTGTAACCAGGCGGTTCCTACCAGTACAACAACCTCGATGTGTCCTAACTTTTGGGCCACCCTGCATACACCGCCAATCGGCAAGTCACCGCGTGTGGTGGAGTGTCGTGCGGGTAACTGTGTAGGGGAGCTGCAGCTGAGGGCGTCTCGCTGTAGGGAGGAGGAGGAGGTGGTGGAGGGGTCGTCTCTTCTCCCTGCTCGTAGGCCCCGTTCTCCTCACCCCAGGCCTGAGCCTCGGGCTCGCCTGGTGGCGGGAGGTCGTAGGGCGCGGGGAGGTCGGGCCGGGCACGCGGGGAGGCCTCGTATGGGGGAGGGAAGTCGTGGCGTCTGAGGGGGAGGAGTGGAGGGGGGGGAGGGAAGAGACGGAGATGTTAGGTACGTGTCATAAAGCTCGTTGAGGCGACTTCTGGAATCCATCTTTTAGTCAACTTGCATTACAGCTTTCCTCCACACTGCTGACAGGCAGCGTGAGAGGTACAGATAGAGAGACACACCGCCACGTGGCAGCCTGGACCACGTGGCAGCCTGGACCACGTGGCAGCCTGGACCACGTGGCAGCCTGGACCACGTGGCAGCCTGGACCACGTGGCAGCCTGGACCACGTGGCAACCCGGAGCCCCGCTCCCGCGTGGCCCCCTTCCTCTGTTCGTTCCCGTTCTGACCACGTGTCGTTCGTCTCCACCCCTATTTAATACCCGGGTCACGTGGTACGTTTCCGCCAATCCTCGTTAGCCTCTATGGAATCTTCTAGACTCCATCGTAAGCTCCCGGGACCACGCCCCTGACTCGTCTCCCCATTGGCCGTGGCCAAAGCCAGCAGAACCAATCCTCTACTTGCAGCTGTCACCTTTCCATGACGTCAGGGCCACGCCCCTAGACTTCTCCCCCATTGGCTGTAAACCAGCACCGGCAGAGCCAATCATCGTGGCGAGTTGTGATACGTGAGTGAGCCGGATATATCCTCACATTACATATGGACAGCGGGAGAGTTCGAAACAACAGGGAGAGGCTGCCGCTGCTCTGTCGGGAGCTGGACCGGTAACCGTCTGGATCTCCCAACTCGCGATTGGTGACGGGGCAGTTGTGGAGAGAGTGGAGAGCTTTCCAATACCTGGGCAGTGTGCTCATGACCAGCTCCGGTTTGACAGCAGAGGTCTCACTCCGAATCAGACGAGCGGCATTGTCTTTTCATCGGTTGCGTAACGCTGCTGTGTGGAAGCTAACTGGTCTGTCGCTCCGCACGAAGCTTCGGGTCTTCTCGGCCACGGTCATGCCCTCCCTTCTCTATGCTTGCGAAATGTGGACCCCACTAATGGAACACATTCAGATTGGCCTGCCTACTATTTGTCCTGGGTTTAACCAGGCTGGATTGTGTCCATACATTTGGACACAATCCCATCAGTAAGCTCCTCCGGCAGGCAATGCTGTGTTGGCTGGGTCATGTAGCCTGCATGCCCAGCCACCGCATGCCCAAGCAGCTTTTGTTCAGTCATGGATAGAGGAGGCTACACGGGCATGGCACGGGCTAGATAAGACATGGAATTATGTTATGAGAGGATGTGGAGCTGAGTGGACTTGCCGATGACTGGAACCAGCGGCGTCAAGATCGTCCTCTGTGGAGGAGGCTCGTGAAGGACACTGCTGCTACTGGCCAGTTGAAGGCAGCAACAACAGAGAGCAGAGGAGCGACGCTCACAACAATGAGTTGAGCGCCGGGTGGCTAAAACGCAAGTTGGCACCTCGTAAGGGGCACTGGTGGTGCATCTGCTTATCAACCCATATGGCACCTGGGTCTGTCCCGTGACCTCCTGTCAGCGGACCTTCAACACTTCACGTGGCTTTAACATGCACATAGCCTGGCACAAGCGTTATGGTGACGTCACTGCTAATTAGTGGCCAATGTTGGTTGTTGTTGTTGAACGGGTAAGTGAGGGGTGATTCAGTGACCAGGTGAGTGATTGAGTGGCTGAGTGAGCTAACGGGTGAGGGAGACGGCAGGTGATTCGGTGGGCGGTGAGTGAGCGATTGAGTGGGTCAGTGAGCCTGTGGGTGAGTGGGTTGGTGAGCGAGTGGGCGAGCGAGTAGCTGAGTGAGCGATTGAGTGGGTCAGTGAGCCCGCGGGTGAGCGAGTGGATGAGCAAGTAGCTGAGTGAGTGATTGAGTGGGTCGGTGAGCGAGTGAGCAAGCGAGTAGCTGAGTGAGCGATTGAGTGGCTCGGTGAGTCCACGGGTGAGCGAGCGGGTCGGGGAGCGAGTGGGTTGGTGAGCGAGTGGGTGAGTGAGCGATTGAGTGGGTCAGTGAGCCCAAGGGTGAGCGAGCGGCTCGGTTGAGCGCGTGGGTTAACGAGTAACTGAGTGAGCGATTGAGTGGCTCGGTAAGCCCACGGGTGAGCGAGTGAGTCGGTGAGCGAGCGAGCGAGTAGCTGAGTGAGTGATTGAGCGGTGTCAGTCAGCCCACGGGTGAGTGAGCGGGTCGGTGAGCGAGCGGGTCAGTGAGCGAGTGGGTGAGCGAGTAGCTGAGCGATTGAGCGGGTCGGTGAGCCCAAGGGTGAGCGAGCGGGTTGGTTGAGCGAGTGGGCGAGTGAGTCGCTGAGTGAGCAATTGAGCGGTGTCAGTAAGCCCACGGGTGAACGAGTGGGTCGGTGAGCGAGTGGGTCGGTGAGTGAGCGATTGAGTGGGTCAGTGAGCGAGTGGGTGAGCGAATCGGTGAGCGAGCGGGTCGGTGAGTAAGCGGGTCGGTGGGCGAGCGGACTTCATCCGACATCGCAGCGATCACCTGCGCAAGGAGGAGGTGGACGGAGTCCGTGGGGCCCCACACCGCAGGGACAGGGCCGCCGTGAGCACCAGGCCCAGGCCCACGCAGGTCAGACCGTAGGCCCAGGCGCCCAGGCCCACGCGGGGGGCCGGGGGGGGGGGCCAGGGCACCGCCGCCGGGGGGGGTCCCGCCGGGGGTCCGGCAAGTGACCCAGAGGGCACGGCAGGGCTCCGGGCCGTGCGGGGCAGACGAGGGCGCGCAGAGGGGGGCGCAGGGGGCACTAAGGGGGTTGCAGGCGGTCCCGCATGTCGCACAGGCGTCTGCCCCTGGGGCAATTACAACACACGCGTCTGCCAATGGGGCACAAGCAACACACGCGTCTGCCCCGGGGGCAATTACAACACACGCGTCTGCCCCTGCGGCACAGGTAACAACGCACGCGTCTGCCAATGGGGCACAAGCAACGCAGGAAACAACACACGCGTCTGCCCCTGGGGCAATTACAACGCACGCCTCTGCCCCGGGGGCACAGGCAACGCAGCCGACGGCGCACGCGTCTGCCCCAGGGGCACTGGCGCCAGGCGCTCGGCCCCCGGGGCCCCCGGCCGCCAGCAGGAAGGCGCCCGCGCAGGCGCACAGGAGGCCCGTGGCGAGTGCGGCGCGGCGAGCTCGCAGCCCCACCACGTGGCGGCCACGTGGCGGCGGGGAGGAGGACGTCGAAGATCGCCGGGATGGCGGCGGCGACGGTGGTGGCGGTGGGAAGAAGGGTCCCAGTGACTGAAGTTGTGTCAGGAGGAAGAGCTGCGGGAGACGCAACGGAGCAGCCGCTGTCGATGACTGAGATGAATAGGGTGGCGGTGGTGGTGATGGCGGTGGTGGTGGTGGTGGCGGTGGTGGCGAAGGTGGTCGTGGTGGGAATGGTCGAGGCGGTGATTGTGACGTCTGTTGTGGCGGTTGAGTTGACGATGATGGTAGCGGTGGTGGTGGCGGTTCAGCTGATGATGATGGTGATGATGGTAGCAGTGGTGATGATGGTGGCGGTTGAGTTGACGATGATGATGGTGGTGGTCGTGGCAATGGTGACAATGGTGACGGTTCAGCTGATGATGGCGATGATGGTAGCGGTGGTGATGATGGTGGCGGTTGAGTTGATAATGATGGCGATGATGGTAGCGGTGGTGATGATGGTGGTGGTCGTGGCAATGGTGACAATGATGGTGACGGTTCAGCTGATGATGGTGATGGCGATGATGGTAGCGGTGGTGATGATGGTGGTGGTCGTGGCAATGGTGACAATGGTGATGGTGACGGTTCAGCTGATGATGGTGATGATGGTAGCGGTGGCGATGATGGTGGCAGTTCAGCTGATGATGGTGTTGATGGGAACCGTGGTGATGTCAATTGCGGCGATGGTGGCACTGGTGATGAGTGCGATGCGAAAACTGGCGATGGTGATGGTGCAGGTGGTGGTGATGGCTGTGACACTGCAGGTGAGAATGAGGCTGCTGGCGATGGTAACGATGTCAGCGTGCACAGACGCGATGTTGAGGGTGATGGTGAAGATGTCGATGATGTTGATGGTGAAGATGTTGATGATGTTGAGGGTGAAGATGTTGATGATGTTGAGGGTGAAGCCTCGTCAGCCATCTTTCCACTCAATTAATTTTGCCCCCAGGGCAGCTAATTCCCCCTAATGCCCCTGAGGAATCAGACGACGCTCCTGTGATGGATCAGATGGAACTCCTGTGATGGATCAGATGAAGCTCCTCTATTGGATCAGATGAATCTCCAGTGTTGGATCAGATGAATCTCCTGTGTTGGATCAGATGAATCTCCTGTGTTGAATCAGATGAATCTTCTGTGTTGAATCAGATGAATCTCCTGTGTTGAATCAGATGAATCTCCTGTGTTGGATCAGATGAATCTCCTGTGTTGAATCAGATGAATCTCCAGTTTTGGATCAGATGAATCTCCAGTGTTGAATCAGATGAATCTCCTGTGTTGAATCAGATGAATCTCCTGTGTTGAATCAGATGAATCTCCTGTGTTGGATCAGATGAATCTCCTGTGTTGGATCAGATGAATTTCCAGTGTTGAATCAGATGAATCTCCAGTGTTGAATCAGATGAATCTCCAGTGTTGAATCAGATGAATCTCCAGTTTTGGATCAGATGAATCTCCTGTGTTGGATCAGATGAATCTCCAGTGTTGAATCAGATGAATCTCCAGTGTTGGATCAGATTAATCTCCAGTGTTGAATCAGATGAATCTCCAGTGTTGAATCAGATGAATCTCCAGTGTTGGATCAGATGAATCTCCAGTGTTGAATCAGATGAATCTCCAGTGTTGAATCAGATGAATCTCCTGTGTTGAATCAGATGAATCTCCAGTGTTGAATCAGATGAATCTCCTGTGTTGAATCAGATGAGTCTCCTGCGTTAGCTCAGATGAATCTCCTGTGTTGAATCCGATTAAGTTCCTGTTAGCTCAGATGAATCTCCTGTGTTAGCTCAGATGAAGCTCCAGTGTTTGGAGTCGGTGTCTTGTCTGCCGTAGGAGCGACTGACGCGCTGTTCTTTACAGCAACCATTATGCACACGCACACACGCACACGCGCACACGCGCACACGCGCACACGCGCACACACGCACACACGCACACACGCACACACGCACACAACTCTTAAATAAATCACTTAACCCTCAGTCCGCCCTTAATGGGCAACTGGATTCGTTAATGAATCACGAAATTAAAACGTGGGGGGAGTGGTGGTGGACAGGCTTGCCCTCCCATCCCGCATCTGCCCTCCAAACCCAGTCGTCAATGTCCTCCGATCACCCGGAGGATATATCTTGGTTTTTTCGGTAAAGTCACGTAGAAGGGAAGTAAAATAATAACAATAAAACATAAAATAATTCTCACGACGTTTCGGCCACAACGCAAGCAGCCGTCCTCAGGTGAAGACCAGGTCTGTCGGGGAGACAGCGTCTGAATGAAACACCACCATGCTTGGAGCGTATATTTATATACCTGAGGACGGCTGCTTGCGTTGTGGCCGAAACGTCGTGAGAATAATTTTATTATGTTTTATTATTTTATTACTTCCCTTCTACGTGACTTTACCGAAAGAACCAAGAAGATGAATCCCTGCAGTCACGAAAGGATATATATTATACAGGTAGTCCCCGACTTACGATGGTCCGACTTAACGATATTTCGATCTTACGATGGCAATTTGACAAAATTGTAAAATATTTTAACATTTCGCGCGGCTAACGCAGCCTTTGTGTGGTGATGCCTCTCACTCTCATTAGAGGTAGACGGAGTAAAGTTGTCTCGGTGTTCGATGCATGTTTAAAGTTTTTTTTTTTTATAGCAGATAGGATTGTTTCCTGAAAAAACTTTCCATGAAATTGCTGTTCATATAGGTAGGCTAAGAATTTACCTTGTTTTTACTTTAAATTTTACTGTGCAATACAGTATTGTGATTAATAAATACATACGGTAAATATAGTAGTAGGTTTTTACCCTTTAAACTGGTACAAAATCTGACACTTTCATACAAGGGATCATGTTTGCAATAACCACAACACAAGCAGTCAAAATGCAAACAAAAATAAACAACTCTGATTATAATGATAATGTAAGGGTTTCTATGCGAGTCTATGGATCTCCGAGTCTGCGTTTCTATGTGAGCCTATGGGTCTGTGTGTGAGTCTATGGGAATGTGTGTGAATCAGTGGGTTTCTATACGAGTCTATGGATCTCTGTGAGTCTGGGTTTCTAAGTGAGCCTATGGGTCTGTGTGTGAGCCTATGGGTCTCTGTGTGAGTCTATGGGAATGTGTGAATCAGTGGGTTTCTATGCGAGTCTATGGGTCTCCGAGTCTGCGTTTCTATGTGAGCCTATGGGTCTGTGTGTGAGCCTATGGGTCTCTGTGTGAGTCTATGGGAATGTGTGAATCAGTGGGTTTCTATGCGAGTCTATGGGTCTCCGAGTCTGCGTTTCTATGTGAGCCTATGGGTCTGTGTGTGAGCCTATGGGTCTCTGTGTGAGTCTATGGGAATGTGTGTGAATCAGTGGGTTTCTATACGAGTCTATGGATCTCCGAGTCTGGGTTTCTAAGTGAGCCTATGGGTCTGTACGAGTCTATGGGTCTCTGTGTGAGCCTATGGGTCTGTGTGTGAATCAGTGGGTTTCTACGCAAGTCTATGTGCGAGTCAGTCTATCTCTACGTGTCTCTACGTGTCTCTACGGCAGGGGTGGGAAACCTTTTGTCTGCCAAGTGCCACTTGGATATTTATATAACATCATTCGTGGGCCATACAAAATTATCAACTTGAAAATTAGCCCGTTGTTATATTTGGTCAAACGTTTAATTAACTCGCCCCTAATGCGATGGGCTGGAACTGCTTCTCTCTGGCGAGGCGTGTGATGATGTGAGCTGCTGGTGTTGATGATGATGTTGCTGCTACTCGCAACTGCTTTTCCAGGTTTGCTCCTAGATTTATACTGGCAGGAACCTCCTGGTTACACCAGCCCACAGGGGATTATTGTGTCCGTCGTGCAGGGAGGGGCTGGGTGGGGAGGGGAGGGTGGGGCTGGGTGGAGAGGGGAGGGGAGGGGCTGGGTGGGGAGGGGCTGGTCACCCCGTGGTGCCCTTCTCAAACTCAACGTTTCACCTACTCACGCCGGCTTGTGCCCGCCCTCACAGTCAGGAATATTTGCGGAATACACCACGCCGACGTTGACCCTGCAGACCATTGACCGAGCAACCCGATGTTCCTACCAGCTCCTTCCGCAGCAGGACAATGTGTTTGAATTTCGAGTCCCGCCTGCGTTTGCCTTGGCAGAGCCACACCAAATGATTTCGCGGGCCTCACACGGCCAACGGGCCTTGGACCTTCCCCCCACCCCTGGCTCTACGGGTGCACCACCACACCTCTGGCGCAACCTCCCCGAGGCAATCCCGCACACCAGAGGTCGCAAACGGGTTTTGATTCCTTACCCGTACCCGGCCGCACCAGTCAATCGCGGCAACGGCGGGTGCTTGGTGAAGAACGAGAGGATTGAGTTCTGGTGGGTCGCGGCGTTTGTGTGCGCGCGCTGGGACGGAGTCGGCGAAAATAAATACGCGACGACTTTGAATTACGTTTATTCGGGACCCCGCGGGGTACCGCCACAAGGTTTCACACGTCTACGGCGACGTTCCAAGATCAACGCTGCAGGGGACCGAGTCGCGACGCGTCTTCCGCGGGAACCACTCGGAACGCGTTTGAATGGAGCTGGCGGAACCCCCCACCGTCACCCCCCCCTCCCCCCCGTTGGATCGCAAGAACGAGTCGTGCTCATGCCGTCACCCGGTAAACTGACACAAAAAAAAGATCAAATCAATTCGCCCCAATACCACCACCAGCGTTCGCCCTTACGCCGTTGCGACTTTGAAGCGGGCAGGTGCAGATGCTCGGGTGCCGGAGACCGGTACGTGGAAGCGGATGTCGTGCTCGTCACACACACACACACAACAACCGCCATTCGCCACTAAGTGGCGGTGACGTCACCACGACGCTTGTGCCAGGCCAAGTGCACCTTGAGGCCACATGAAGTGTCGAACGCCCGCTGGTAGTAGGTCATGGGGCAGACCCAGCAGGTGCCACGGGTCGACTGACTGAAATGACCGAGATGACTGGCTAATGCACCACCTGTGCCCCCTACCGTGCCAACTTGCTGTGCTTTAGCCACCCGGCGCTCCGCTCGTTGTTGTGAGCGTCGCTCCTCTGCCCTCCGTTGTTGTTGGAGGGCGACTGCCTCCAACTGCCCAGTAGCGTCCTTCACGAGCCTCCTCCACTGAGGCCGATCTTGACACCGCTGGTACCGGTCATCGGCAAGTCCACTCAGCTCCACGTCCTCCTGTACCACATCACTCCATCTCTTCTCTAGCCCGTGCCGCGCCCGTTTAGCCCCCACACACACACGCACACACACACGCGCACACACACACACGCGCACACACACGCGCACACACACACACACACACACGCGCACACACGCGCGCACACACACGCGCAAGCACAAAGTGCTCGGCCCGCAAATGAACCACCACAATGCCTCTCTGACCTCAAGCAGCGTCAACCATCACCACGCCAACTCCGCAGCGGCAGCAGCAGCTTTTGGCAAACCATCGATAGAAAGACGGTGGCCACTGCATTGCCCGGCGCAAGAGGTCACAAACGGGTTTTGATTCCTTACCCGTACCCGGCCGCACCAGTGTCGCAAACGGCTACCCGTACCCGGCTGGGTACGGGTAGCCGGGTATCGGGTAGGGTACGGGTAGCCGGGTATCGGGTAGGGTACGGGTATCGGGTACCCGGTTGCGACCTCTGCCCGGCGCTTTCAGACACGCTGCTTCTGCGGCCGTCTGGAACGCTCTTCCCTCCGATATTAGGAAGCTGCCGGAGGAGCTGTGCACTTGGAAATCGTCCAGATTGACAAACTCATTTTTTTAGAGCTGTTTGTGTGTTTAGATTGTTGTCTTTCCCCGCACCCCCGATTAGCGCTGTTGACTACGTACGGTGCGAAATAATCTAGATTTGAAGCTTCCGTGCTCGCACGAATCCATACTCTTTGTGGTTCTGTCGGTACAGTCACGTGGGTAGAAAAATAAAATAAGTCGCGACCTTTCGATCGCAACACAGCATTTCCTTGCTGTGGGTATCACACAGCTGATGAGGATCGCTTGTGTTGCCATCGAAACGTCCGTGATTTGTTCAATTTGATTTCTACCTACGTCACTTTACCGAAAGAACCAACGAGTATGGTGTGAAAGAAGTTCGACAAACACACAGGGCTACCTCCGAGTGCTGTTAACGCGAACCTCTGGACCGCAGGCTCATTGCACGGCGGTTAAAATCAACACTTTGAATTTGCAGTGCTGCATTTCGCCAAATTAAGTACAGAATGGCATTGAATGTGATCAGCATTTTATTGTGGTGTCGTTGGTGACATCAACTCATGAGAACCCGATTTAATCATAATCAAGTGTACGCGAATCCGTGGGTCTCTGTGTGAGTCTGTGGGTCTCTCTGTGTGAGTCTACGGGTCTCTGTGTGAGTCTATGGGTCTCTCTGTGTGAGTCTGTGGGTCTCTGTGTGAGTCTGTGGGTCTCTGTGTGAGTCTGTGGGTCTCTGTGTGAGTCTGTGGGTCTCTGTGTGAGTCTGTGGGTCTCTGTGCGAGTCTATGGGTCTCTGTGTGAGTCTGTGGGTCTCTGTGTGAGTCTGTGGGTCTCTGTCTGAGTCTACGGGTCTCTGTGCGAGTCTGTGGGTCTCTGTGTGAGTCTGTGGGTCTCTGTGCGAGTCTATGGGTCTCTGTGTGAGTCTGGGTCTCTGTGCGAGTCTGTGGGTCTCTGTCTGAGTCTAGGGTCTCTGTGCGAGTCTGTGGGTCTCTGTGCGAGTCTGTGGGTCTCTGTGCGAGTCTGTGGGTCTCGTGCGAGTCTGTGGGTCTCTGTGCGAGTCGTGGGCTCTTGGTGGGTCTCTGTGCGAGTCTATGGGTCTCTGTGTGAGTCTATGTGGTCTCTGTGTCGAATCTATGGGTCTCTGTGTGAGTCTGTGGGTCTCTGTGCGAGTCTATGGGTCTCTGTGTGAGTCTGTGGGTCTCTGTGCGAATCTATGGGTCTCTGTGTGAGTCTATGGGTCTCTGTGTGAGTCTGTGGGTCTCTCTGTGAGTTTGAGTCTCTGTGTGAGTCTGTGGGTCTCTGTGCGAGTCTATGGGTCTCTGTGTGAGTCTATGGGTCTCTGTGTGAGTCTATGGTTCTCTGTGTGAGTCTATGTGTCTGTGTGAGTCTACGGGTCTGTGTGAGTCTACGGGTCTCTGTGTGAGTCTACGGGTCTCTGTGTGAGTCCATGGGTCTCTGTGTGAGTCTACGGGTCTCTGTGTGAGTCCATGGGTCTCTGTGTGAGTCTGTGGGTTTCTGTGTGAGTCTACGGGTCTCTGTGTGAGTCTACGGGTCTCTGTGTGAGTCTATGGGTCTCTGTGTGAGTCTACGGATCTCTGTGTGAGTCTATGGGTCTCTGTGCGAGTCTATGGGTCTCTGTGTGAGTCTATGGGTCTCTGTGCGAGTCTATGGGTCTCTGTGTGAGTCTGTGGGTCTCTGTGTGAGTCTGTGGGTCTCTGTGTGAGTCTATGGGTCTCTGTGTGAGTCTATGGGTCTCTGTGCGAGTCTACGGGTCTCTGTGCGAGTCTACGGGTCTCTATGCGAGTCTACGGGTCTCTGTGCGAGTCTACGGTTCTCTGTGTGTGAGTCTACGGGTCTCTGTGTGAGTCTACGGGTCTCTGTGTGAGTCTATGGGTCTCTGTGTGAGTCTACGGGTCTCTCTGTGAGTCTACGGGTCTCTGTGTGAGTCTATGGGTCTCTGTGCGAGTCTACGGGTCTCTGTCCGAGTCTACTGGTCTCTGTGTGAGTCTACGGGTCTCTGTGTGAGTCTACGGGTCTCTCTGTGAGTCTACGGGTCTCTGTGCGAGTCTACGGGTGTCTGTGTGAGTCTCCGGGTCTATATGCGAGTCACTATGTGATCGGGGTGAGAACCCGGTTAAATCGCCATCGTTGGCCGACTGCTGCTGTAGACGCTGTAGATGCTGTAGATGATGTACATGTATCTGTTGGTTCTGTAAAGCTGTCACTGCTTTACAGCTGCTGCTGTAGACGCCGTAGACGTATCCGTGGCTAGTTTTTCTTTTTCTTCATGAGGCAGACCCCAGGCGCAGACTCCCTCCGCTTGCGCTGCGGGGTCGGTGGGAGAGAGGTCGGAGGCCCGAACGTGAGAAATGCAACATCAAACATCACCCTGCTCCCCCCCCCTCGCACCAGATACTCATTTGAGGCCGAGTCGACCTAGGGGAAGCCATGAATTGATTCAGATAATCGTCACTCTCCCCACACACACACCCCACACACCCCACACACGCACACACCCCACACGCACACACACCACACACACACACACCCCACACACACACCCCCACACACACACACCCCACACACACACACCCCACACACACCCCCCACACGCACACACCCCACACGCACACACACCCCACACGCACACACACAGACCCCGCACACACACAGACCCCACACACACACACCCCACACACACACACCCCACACACACATACCCCCCCCACCCCACACACCCCACACCCACCACACACACCCCACACACACACCCCACACACACACCCCACACACACATACCCCCCCACCCCACACACCCCACACCCACCACACACACCACACACACCCCACACACACCCCACACCCCACACACACACCACACACACCCCCCACACACATACCCCCCCCCACCCCACACACCCCACACACACCACACACACCCCACCAACCACACACACCCCACCAACCACACACACACCCCACACACCACACACACCCCACACACCCCACACACACACCACACACACCCCACACACCACACACACCCCACACACACCCCCCCCACCCCACACACCCCACACACACACACACCCCCCCCACCCCCCCCACCCCACACACACACACACACTCCGTGTCTCGTGTGTTTGTTACCGAGATGTTTGCCCCCATGGCGTCCGCGAGTCCGTCGGAGCGAGCGACGTCCGCGGACTGCAACTCTCCGTCTGAGACGATGCACACAGGGAGGGAAACACACACAGGGAGGGGGCGACACGGCGCAGAGACGCGAGCGGATCTTTACATCTCTGTGTGTCTCTGTGTGTCTCTGTGTGTCTCTGTGTGTCTCTGTGTGTCTCTGTGTGTCTCTGTGTGTCTCTGTGAGTCTCTGTGAGTCTCTGTGAGTCTCTGTGAGTCTCTGTGAGTCTCTGTGTGTCTCTGTGAGTCTCTGTGTGTCTCTGTTGTGTCTCTGTGAGTCTCTGTGAGTCTCTGTGAGTCTCTGTGTGTCTCTGTGTGTCTTTATGTGTCTCTGTGAGTCTCTGTGTGTCTCTGTGTGTCTCTGTGAGTCTCTGTGTGTCTCTGTGTGTCTCTGTGTGTCTCTGTGTGTCTCTGTGAGTCTCTGTGTGTCTCTGTGTGTCTCTGTGTGTCTCTGTGAGTCTCTGTGTGTCTCTGTGTGTCTTTATGTGTCTCTGTGAGTCTCTGTGTGTCTCTGTGTGTCTCTGTGAGTCTCTGTGTGTCTCTGTGTGTCTCTGTGTGTCTCTGTGTGTCTCTGTGTGTCTCTGTGTGTCTCTGTGAGTCTCTGTGAGTCTCTGTGAGTCTCTGTGTCTCGTGAGTCTCTGTGTGTCTCTGTGAGTCTCTGTGTGTCTCTGTGTGTCTCTGTGTGTCTCTGTGAGTCTCTGTGAGTCTCTGTGTGTCTCTGTGTGTCTCTGTGAGTCTCTGTGTGTCTCTGTGTGTCTCTGTGTGTCTCTGTGTGTCTCTGTGAGTCTCTGTGTGTCTCTGTGTGTCTCTGTGTGTCTCTGTGAGTCTCTGTGTGTCTCTGTGAGTCTCTGTGTGTCTCTGTGTGTCTCTGTGTGTCTCTGTGTTGTCTCTCTTTGCTTATGTGTCTGTCTGTGTGTCTCCGGTGCTGTGTTTAATCTCTCTCTTAAATTTAGCAATCTTTGGAAGAACGTAATCAACCAGGTAGGGTGTTGACTGTAATGTTAGCCGACTCTCTGTGTTGTATTACATTACATTTCTAAGTTCACAAGGTTTGTTTCTCTTTCATTTGTGCTTGACGATGATTGATTGTGTTGCAATCAAAACGTCTGTGCTGTTATTTAATTTAATATTTTCTCTTTCTACGTGACTTTACCGAAAGAACCAAAGAGTGAGTGTTCGTGTGCTCTCTTCGCCTTCCGGCGTTGGTCCAACGCTGTTAGTGAGACTTGGCTCTAAAGAAAGCGGTCTCTGGTGCAGAGGTCGCAACCAGGTACCCGATACCCGTACCCAACCCGATACCCGGCTACCCGTACCGGGTACCCGTTTGCGACCCTGGTGCGGCCGGGTACGGGTAGGCCGTGAGTCACTGGTGAGTCACCGTTTGTCACTCATTTCCCAACGTCTTGTCTCTTCTCGCAATTCAAGTTCCTAGAATCAACCCACCCGCGCCTGCAACGTGGCTTCATTCCAGAGTTCGCTATCGGGTACCCGATACCCGTACCCGTTTGCGACCCTGGTGCGGCCGGGTACGGGTAAGGAATCAAAACCCGTTTGCGACCTCTGCTCTGGTGTGGACCAATCAGTTTCAAAGGCAATGCATCATCATCTACTACCAGAGTGTGTTTTTTTTTTGCATGTTCACCACAAGTACCTTGTGTGGTTGATGCAGACACGATTCCTTGCAAAAAGGTTCCAGTTTTGTGTTCTAAAATCTTAACACAACTGTTTGATTGCTGGAGAGAGTAAAACCTATTCTTATATTGTGATACTGGCAAGGGAGATCCTGTGAGATAGAAGCACTACCCACAAACTCTTCCAGTGACCTCTGCTCCACGCAGCTAAGGGGGGCACAGCACTTTCCCTCCTCACCCCACCTCCTCACCCCTCCTCCTCACCCCTCACCCCTCCTCCTCACCCCACCTCCTCACCCCACCTCCTCACCCCTCCTCCTCACCCCACCTCCTCACCCCCCCCACCACTGAGGGAAGTAACTGAACGTCAGCGCGCGCGTGTCTGCGTGTCTGCGTGTCTGCGTGTCTGCGTGTTTGTGTGTCTGCGTGTCTGTGTGTTGTACACTTCTTTAGCTAAGGACGTCGCCAATCGTGATAATCGGGAGGTGCGAGGCGCGTCCACCCGTTAGTAAAACAAGCTAGCGATACGACAAGCACATTGCTTTACTTTATAATTGAACGAGAAAAGGTTCTGTCCGTTTCACCGCAGCGCCACCACCACCACCACCGCCACCACCACCACCGCCACCACCACCACCACCACGGCCACCACCGCAGCGCCACCACCACCGCAGCACCACCACCACCACCACAGTGCCACCACCACCACAGCGCCACCACCACCACAGCGCCACCGCCACCGCCTCACCTGGCCGCACGCCGGCGGTCGGCACCGACACGGACGACGAGGAGGAGGAGGTGGAGGAGGACGAGGATGACGACGGCGGCGGTGGCGGCAGCGCCGCGGTCGCGGTCGCGCCGGTCGACGCGGAGGAGGAGGAGGGGGCGGCGCCGGCAGACGCCGCGCCGGCCGCCCCTCCGCCCCCCGGCGGCGCCGGTGCCGTCGTCGGCGGCTCGGAGCCCCCCGCGATGGCGCGCAGGTTGTGGTAGCGGTGCGTGAGCGTGTGCCGCTCGTACTCGCAGGTGCCCAGCGCCTGCTTCAGCTCGTAGAGCAGCACCAGGTCGGAGCGCAGCTCGTTGTACAGCAGCACCACCTCCTCCGTGGGCATCGGGCTCAGGTCTGGGGGGTGGGGTGGGGACACGGGGGGGGGTGGGGGACACGGGGGGGGGGGTGGTGGGGAGACACGGGGGGGGGAGACACGGGGGGGGTGAGTGGGGAGATACTGTGGAGTGGGGAGACGGCGGAATTGTGTGGAGAGACACGGGGGGGGGGGGGGGGGGGGTGGGAGGACACGGGGTGGAGACATGGGGGGGGGGTGGGGAGCACGGGGGTGGGGAGACACGGGGGTGGGGAGACACGGGGGGGGTGCAGTGGGGAGACGGGGGGGGGGGGAGACACGGGGGGGGGGGTGGGGAGACACGGGGGATGTGCGGAACCACTTGATGGTTGGGGAGACGCGGTGCCGTGAGCCGTGTATTGAGTAGTGAGCCGCCACGGTGAGTCACGGTGAGTCCGGTTGAGTAACGGTGAGCCGCTACGGTGAGCCACGGTGAGCCACGGGTGAGCCGCCACAGTGAGTCACGGTGAGTCACGGTGAGCCGCTACGGTGAGCCGCTACGGTGAGCCACGGTGAGCCGCCACAGTGAGTCATGGTGAGCCGCCACAGTGAGTCACGGTGAGTCACGGTGAGCCGCTACGGTGAGCTGCCACGGTGAGCCACGTACCGATGCCCAGCTCGGTGAGGATCTGCTCGATCGCTTTCACTTTCTTCTGGCCAACGGAGCTTGGCAACTTCATCTGGTCACAACAAAACAGAACGCAGCGCACCACCACGTCACCACAACACGGAGCGAGAGAGAGAGAGGAGCGAGAGAGTGAGCGAGAGAGTGAGAGGGAGCGAGAGAGTGAGAGAGTGAGCGAGAGAGTGGAGCGAGAGAGTGACCAAGAGAGTGAGCGAGAGAGAGAGAGGGACAGAGTGAGAGAGAGTGAGAGAGAGAGTGAGAGGGAGCGAGAGAGTGAGAGAGTGACCAAGAGAGTGAGCGAGAGAGAGAGAGAGAGTGAGAGAGAGAGGACAGAGTGAGAGAGAGTGAGAGAGAGTGAGAGAGTGAGAGAGAGCTGAGAGACGTGAGCGAGGAGAGTGCAGAGAGGGAGTGAGAGAGAGAGGGACAGATTGAGAGAGAGCGAGAGAGTGAGGAGAGAGAGCTGAGGAGAGAGTGAGCGAGGAGAGGTGAGAGAGAGAGTGAGAGGGAGCGATATGAGGTGAGAGAGTGACCAAGAGAAGTGAGCGAGAGAGAGAGAGGGACAGAGTGAGAGAGAGTGAGAGAGAGAGTGAGAGGGAGCGAGAGAGTGAGAGAGTGAGCGAGAGAGTGACCAAGAGAGTGAGCGAGAGAGAGAGAGAGAGAGTGAGAGGAGAGAGGGACAGAGTGAGAGAGAGTGAGAGAGAGTGAGCGAGAGAGTGAGAGAGAGTGGCGAGAGGAGAGAGAGCGAGAGAGTGAGCAGATGAGAGTGAGAGAGGAGAGGGAGCGAGAGAGTGAGAGAAGTGAGCGATGAGAGTGACCAAGAGAGTGAGCGAGAGAGAGAGAGGGACAGAGTGAGAGAGAGTGAGAGAGAGAGAGGGACAGAGTGAGAGAGAGGTGAGAGAGAGTGAGAGAGAGTGAGAGAGAGAGTGAGAGAGTGAGAGAGAGGAGTGAGAGTGAGCGAGAGAGTGAGAGAGTGAGCGAGAGAGTGAGAGAGAGAGTGAGAGGGAGCGAGAGAGTGAGAGAGTGAGCGAGAGAGTGACCAAGAGAGTGAGCGAGAGAGAGAGAGGGACAGAGTGAGCGAGAGAGGTGAGCAAGAGAGCGAGTGAGAGGGTGAGCGAGAGAGTGAGCGAGAGGGTGGGGGTTCACATAAAGCAAAGTTAAAAAAAAAAAATTACGAAATGATGAACGAAGCAAAGTGCCGACTACACCGAGCATCTTCTTGTTTCCACTGATCGTAAACAAAAGAGCGAGAGAGCGACAGAGAGAGTGGGCGAGAGAGAGAGCGAGAGAGCGAGCGAGTGAGAGAGCGAGCGAGAGAGAGCGAGCGAGCGAGAGCGAGAGAGCGAGAGAGAGAGACACACCCTCTGACTGCGCAGCATCACCCCGGCTGACTTGGCATCCGGGAACTTGATCCCGGCTGTCTCCAGTACAGCCTGCGGGGTCACACGGGGTCACGGGGGATCACGGCGGGGTCACGGCGAGTCACAGGGGATCACGGCGGGGTCACGGGGAGTCACACGGGGTCACGGCGAGGTCACGGCGGAGTCACGGGCAGTCACTGCGGGGTCACGGGCAGGTCACGGCGGGGTCACGGAGAGGTCACGGCGGGGTCACGGAGAGGTCACAGAGGCACAGTAATGAATACACAACCCTCCATGACTGCTGTCGAATGCCAGTGTCCCCCACAGAGTCTAACGGCAGCGTTCCTCATTGCAAGGCCCCGCGCAGGGGGCCACTGGCGGTCCCTGGTGGCCTTTAGCGTGGCCCGCCGACCAATAGACACCGCCCATCATCGCCGTCATCATCGTCGTCGTCATCATCGTCGTCATCGTCGTCGTACGTGCGTGTGTGTACGTGTGTGTACGTGTGCGTGTGCGCGTGTGTGTACGTGTGTGTACGTGTGTGTACGTGTGTGTGTACGTGTGTGTACGTGTGCGTGCGTGTGTGTACGTGTGTGTACGTGTGTGTACGTGCGCGTGTGTGTACATGTGTGTACGTGTGTGTGTGTACGTGTGTGTACGTGTGCGTGCGTGTGTGTACGTGTGTGTACGTGCGCGTGTGTGTACATGTGTGTACGTGTGTGTGTGTACGTGTGTGTACGTGTGCGTGCGTGTGTGTACGTGTGCGTGCGTGTGTGTACGTATGCGTGTGTGCGTGCGCGGGTCTTACCGCCCGGTCCCCCGAGTCTCCCCGCCGGTGCGTCGCCTTCTTCTTGCTGGCCTTGCGCTCGTGCGCGCGGTGGTGGTGGTGGTGGTGGTGATGGTGGTGGTGATGGTGGTGGTGGTGGGGGGGGGGCCCTCCCGCCTGGCCCCCCGGTCCCCCCGACGCCGCCGCCGCCGAACCCGCCCCCCCGTGCTGCTGCCCGTGGCCCTGCTGCTGCTGCTGCTGGTGCTGCTGCTGCTGCTGGTGGTGGTGGTGCTGCAGCGAGGCCGTGGCGCTGGTCGCCGCGCCCATCAGCTTGTGCAGGTCCTGCGTGGCGCGCTCGCGCTCCTTCTTGCGAGACTCGATGCGACGCAGCTCCGACACCAGCGTCTCCTCTTCCGCCAGCTGAGTCGGGGAGGAGGTACGGGGCGGGGGTACGGGGAGGGGGTACGGGGCGGGGGTAGGGGGAGGGGGTACGGGGAGGGGGTACGGGGAGGGGGCACGGGGAGGGGGCACGGGGCGGGGGTACGGGGAGGGGGTACGGGGAGGGGGGTACGGGGTGGGGGTACGGGGAGGGGGTACGGGGAGGGGGACATCGTCAAGGATAGCCGGGTAGCTGCCCCCTTGTGGCTCTATACAGCAATGCCGTGGGGGTCTGACGATCCCTGCTGTGTATTTGGAGTTTGCGTCGTCTCTCTCTCCCCGTGCCGTGGGTTCTCGCACGACAGAGACGATGAAGTAGAGGCAACACTATTCAGTGCGACTGAACACTTGACACGGGGCAACGTATACAACTCTTGAAGGGGGTAACGGCCCCTTCACCCGTACTACTCTGGGAGACACCCCTAGGCCCACCTGCCTATCCACCTACGCTCCCAGGTCCTCCGCTAAGGGCTCTAGGGGAGGCTACCTGACCTGGCCCAGCCAAGACGCAGGTCCCGAACACCAGCCACACAGACCCGGTCCTCAGAAGGGCTGCGGGTCAGAGGAGACCCTGACGCCTGCTGCTGTATAGTTGGAGTTTGCGTGTCTCTCTGTCATCATCATCACGGTGGCTAGGAGATGTTAACTACCTCGCCTGGTATACAGGAGGAAGTGGGTTCGATCCCGACCCTTCAACTGGGTCTTCCGACTTCGACTCGCGAACACTGCCCCCCCATGCCTCTCTGGCTCCCCGTCTTTTATACTAATTCCTCACCGAGGGGCGGGGTTCTGAGGGATCACAGCGCAGGATCCAAAGCCCACAGCCCCCTGCGGGTAAGCCAAGGCTGCGAGCTGTAACCGACGTGTGTTTGTCACGTAACGCCACTACACCCGTCGCAAACGGGTACGGGTAGGCCGTGAGTCACTGGTGAGTCACCGTTTGTCACTCATTTCCCAACGTCTTGTCTCTTCTCACAATTCAGTTCCTAGAATCAACCCACCCGCGCCTGCAACATGGCTTCATCCCAGAGGTCGCAATCGGGTACCTGTACCCGTACCCTACCCGGCCGGGTACGGGTACCCGTTTGCGACCCTGGTGCGGCCGGGTACGGGTACGGGTAAGGAATCAAAACCCGTTTGCGACCTCCAACCACCGGGGGTCCGACCCCCCGCCCCGCCCCCCATGAGCTCCGCACCTGCTCCGGCGTGCGGCTGAAGAGACGCTCCAGCTGCTGCTTGCGCCGCCGCTCGTGTTCGGCGTCGAAGGCGGGGACGGCACGCGGCTCCGTGCCGGGCGGGGCGCGGGCACGGAGGAGACGCGACGTCATGGAGTAGTAGCGCTCCTTCAGGTCCTCCACGGAGCGTCGCTACGGAGACACACGGAGCCACACGGAGAGATGGAGACACATGGAGACACACAGAGAGAGATGGAGACACGGAGACACACGGAGACACACGGAGACACACGGAGAGAGATGGAGACACATGGAGACACACGGAGAGAGATGGAGACACACGGAGAGAGATGGAGACACATGGAGACACACGGAGAGAGGTGGAGACACACGGAGACACACGGAGAGATGGAGACACATGGAGACACACGGAGACACACGGAGACACACAGAGAGAGATGGAGACACGGAGACACACGGAGAGAGGTGGAGACACACGGAGCCACACGGAGAGATGGAGACACATGGAGACACACGGAGACACACGGAGACACACAGAGACACACGGAGACACACGGAGACACACGGAGAGAGATGGAGACACGGAGACACACGGAGAGAGGTGGAGACACACGGAGAGAGATGGAGACACACGGAGACACACAGAGAGAGATGGAGACACACGGAGACACACGGAGACACACAGAGAGAGATGAAGACACATGGAGACACACGGAGAGAGATGGAGACACACGGAGACACACGGAGAGAGATGAGACACACGGAGACACACAGAGAGTTGGAGACACACGGAGACACACGGAGACACACGGAGACACACGGAGACACACGGAGAGAGATGGAGACACACGGAGACACACGGAGACACATGGAGAGAGACGGAGACACACGGAGACACACGGAGACACACGGAGAGAGATGGAGACACACGGAGAGAGATGGAGACACACGGAGACAACGGAGAGAGATGGAGACACACGGAGACACACGGAGAGAGATGGAGACACACGGAGCACACGGAGACACACGGAGAGAGATGGAGACACACGGAGAGAGATGGAGACACACGGAGAGAGATGGAGACACACGGAGAGAGATGGAGACACACGGAGAGAGATGGAGACACACGGAGAGAGATGGAGACACACGGAGAGAGATGGAGACACACGGAGACACATGGAGAGAGATGAAGACACACGGAGACACACGGAGAGAGATGGAGACACACGGAGACACACGGAGACACATGGAGAGAGATGAAGACACACGGAGACACACGGAGAGAGATGGAGACACACGGAGACACACGGAGACACACAGAGAGAGATGGAGACACACGGAGTTGGAGTAGTAGCGCTACTTCAGGTCCTCCACAGAGCGTCGCTACGGAGAAAGAGACACGGAGAGAGATGGAGCAACTCCAAATACACAGCAGGGATCGTCAGGGTCGGGATCAAACCCACGACCTCTTGTATACCAGGCGAGGAAGTTAACATCTCCTAGATACCGTGATGATGATGATGAGAGACACGCAAACTTCAAATACACAGCAGCAGCAGGCGTCGTCAGGGTTGGGATTGAACCCACGACCTCCTGCATACCAGGCGAGGTAGTTAACATCTCCTAGCCACCGTGATGATGATGAAAGAGACACACACACAAACTCCAAATATACAGCAGCAGGCGTCGTCAGGGTTGGAATTGAACCCACGACCTCCTGCGTACCAGGCGAGGTAGTCAACATCTCCTAGCCACCGTGATGATGATGATGAGAGAGACACAGACTCCAAATATACAGCAGCAGGCGTCGTCAGGGTCGGGATTGAACCCACGACCTCCTGCGTACCAGGCGAGGTAGTCAACATCTCCTAGCCACCGTGATGATGATGATGAGAGAGACACAGACTCCAAATATACAGCAGCAGGCGTCGTCAGGGTTGGGATTGAACCCACGACCTCCTGCGTACCAGGCGAGGTAGTTAACATCTCCTAGCCACCGTGATGATGATGAAAGAGACACACACACAAACTCCAAATATACAGCAGCAGGCGTCGTCAGGGTTGGAATTGAACCCACGACCTCCTGCATACCAGGCGAGGTAGTTAACATCTCCTAGCCACCGTGACGATGATGAAAGAGACACACACACAAACTCCAAATATACAGCAGCAGGCGTCGTCAGGGTCGGGATTGAACCCACGACCTCCTGCGTACCAGGCGAGGTAGTCAACATCTCCTAGCCACCGTGATGATGATGATGAGAGAGACACAGACTCCAAATATACAGCAGCAGGCGTCGTCAGGGTTGGGATTGAACCCACGACCTCCTGCGTACCAGGCGAGGTAGTCAACATCTCCTAGCCACCGTGATGATGATGATGAGAGAGACACAGACTCCAAATATACAGCAGCAGCAGGCGTCGTCAGGGTTGGGATTGAACCCACGACCTCCTGCGTACCAGGCGAGGTAGTTAACATCTCCTAGCCACCGTGACGATGATGAAAGAGACACACACACAAACTCCAAATATACAGCAGCAGGCGTCGTCAGGGTCGGGATTGAACCCACGACCTCCTGCGTACCAGGCGAGGTAGTCAACATCTCCTAGCCACCGTGATGATGATGATGAGAGAGACACAGACTCCAAATATACAGCAGCAGGCGTCGTCAGGGTTGGGATTGAACCCACGACCTCCTGCGTACCAGGCGAGGTAGTCAACATCTCCTAGCCACCGTGATGATGATGATGAGAGAGACACAGACTCCAAATATACAGCAGCAGCAGGCGTCAGGGTTGGAATTGAACCCACGACCTCCTGCGTACCAGGCGAGGTAGTCAACATGTACGCACCTTGTAGGTGTTGCAGTCGTAGCGGTCGTGCATGACCACCCAGCGCAGGTCGAACCGCTGGCAGAGGTCGAGCAGGTGGTCAGTCTCGGCGCGGCTCCAGTCGTCGTGCTGCAGGTGCGACGCGTACTCCTGCTCCGTGAACACGGGCACCTGCACGCTCTGCACCGGCAACGACGACAACATCAAGCGGCGGCATCGGCAGCGGCAGCAGCAGCGGCAGCAGCAGCGGCAGCATCATCAGCATCAGCAGCAGCAGCAGCATCATCATCATCATCAGCAACAGCAGCAGCGGCAGCATCATCATCAGCAACAGCAGCAGCAGCACCAGCAGTAGCAGCAGCAGCGGCACACCACCTGGGTCTGTCCCGTGACCTCGTGCACCTAGTCTGGCACAGTGGGGGGCACAGCTGGTGCATCGGCCACTCATCTCGGTCAATCGACCCACGGCACGAGGCCTGGCACAAGCGGCGTGGTGACGTCACCGCCACTTAGCGGTGACGTCACACCGCCACTTGTTGTTGTTCATGTTGTTGTTGTTCATGTTGTTGTTGTTGTCGTGTGCGTGCCTTGTTGAAGCGAGCGAAGGGATACTCGCTGGGCTGGTCGGTGGCGCGCCGCCAGTGGTGGAAGACGGCGCCGTCGGTGCGCGCCGGGTGGGTGAAGGGGGTCCAGCGCCACGCCCGCACCACGCGGCACCCGAGGCGCGCCTTCACCGTGCGGTAGCCCTGGGACGAGTCGCTGGGCAGCACCGGCGGGGCGTCCCTGAGACGGTGGGTGGGACGTGGTGACACGGTGAGACACGGTGAGACACGGTGAGACACGGTGAGACGTGTCGCTGGGCAGCACCGGCGGGGCGTCCCTGAGACGATGCGCGGGGAGAGAGACACGGGGGGTGAGACGCCGGGAGAGAGACACGGGGGGTGAGACGCAGGGAGAGAGACACGGGGGGGTGAGACGCCGGGAGAGAGACACGGGGGTGGAGACGCGGGGAGAGAGACGCGGGGAGAGAGACATGGTGTGGGTGGGACGCGGGGAGAGAGACACGGTGGGACGAGGTGTGACACAATGAGACGTGAGACACGGTACAATGTGGTGAGACACGGTGGGATGTGGTGAGACACACTGAGACACACTGAGACACGGTGAGACACGGTGGGACACGCACGGGCATGCGTCGTGTCTCACTTGTTGTCCGAGTAGAGCAGGGCGTAGACCTCTCGGTGCATCCCCTCCGGACGCTTGAACGTCGGAGTCTCTGCCAGCTTCTTTGACTTTTTCTAAAAACCCAAACACAGACACGCAGACACGCACACAGACACACAGACACACGCACAGACACACAGGCATGCAGACACGCGCACAGACACAGAGACACGCGCACAGACACACAGACACGCGCACAGACACACAGACACGCGCACAGACACACGCACAGGCACACAGACACGCAGACACGCGCACAGACACACAGACACGCACGCAGACACACAGACACGCGCACAGACACACGCACAGACACGCGCGAGGTGGTTGAGGTGGTGATGTACGGGTGGTGGTGAGTGGTTGAGGTGGTGAAGTAGGGGTGGTGGTGAGTGGTTGAGGTGGTTGAGGTGGTGAAGTATGGGTGGTGGTGAGTGGTTGAGGTGGTGGTGAGTGGTTGAGGTGGTGAAGTATGGGTGGTGGTGAGTGGTTGAGGTGGTGAAGTATGGGTGGTGGTGAGTGGTTGAGGTGGTGGTGAGTGGTTGAGGTGGTTGAGGTGGTGAAGAATGGCTGCTGGCACCTTGTCGGTCTGCAGCAGGAGGTCGCGTTTGCTGATGGGTGCCACCATCTCCCCGTCCGCCGAAAGCTCCAAGATGTCACGCACATCGGCACCGGTGCCCATGGTGCTGAGACCACAACAACAACCACAACACCATCACCACAACCACCATCACCACAACTGCGTCAACAACCGCCGGCGACTACAACACGGCAACAGCCACACACTCAAAACCACAGCCACAACTATAACCACAACTATAGCCACAACTATAACCACAACTATAGCCACAACTATAACCACAACTATAACCACAGCCACAACTATAACCACAACTATAACCACAACCAAAACTATGACCACAACTATAACCACAACTACAGCTACAACCACAGCTACAGCCACAACTATTATAATCTCAACAACTACAACCACAACTATAGCCACAACTATTACAATCTCAACAACTATAACCACAACTATAGCCACAACTATTACAATCTCAACAACTCTAACCACAACTATAGCCACAACCACAACTATTACAACCACGGCAACAACAACAACCACAACTGCGTTAGCGGGGTTGTGCAGCCCGCATTGCGCGCACAGCCGCAGCTGCTGATCCTGGATCATGACTAGGATCGTCGATTTCCATCCATAAATACCAGCTGCTATAGGCTGCGTGGTGGTGGCAGTGGTAAGCAGCAGAGGTGCAGTGCATGAGAGGACCCACAACCCCCTTGTTGCTGCACTGTACAGTGCGTCTATGCCACACCAAATTTGTAAATATTTCAACAAACAACAACAACACGACACGCGTGACCAGAGTGGTGAAGTATGGTCGTGTGCAGGGTGGAGGGTGGAGGAGGGGGGCGACTTTAGCCAGCGGCGATTAACGCGGAGAACGAGAGCCTAGGCAAGGCCGCACATGGGCGCGGCCATTACAAAGACACAAAGACAAAGGTCCCCCGTGTAGCCTGTAACGGACTGCAGGGGCAAGTGCTGTTAGCGAGCACCTATGAAGGCTACCGGCACTGTGGCACACGAGGGGGTGGGTGGCCAGCACCACGCCCGGCCGCCTTTGTCTCCCCAGTGGCGATGTTTACACGCAGCACCAGGTTGCTCATTTGAGGCTGAGTCTACCTAGGGGAGGCCCAATCGTCACTGATGTTGGCCGTGAGCGGGAATCGAACCCGGGTCGCCGGGTTTGTAGCGCAGCGTAGCGCTAACCACTACACCCACCACTCCCCACACACACACCAGACACACACACATACACACACAAAGACACTCACACACACACATACACACAAGACACACACACACACACAGACACACACACACAGACACTCACACACACACTCACACACACACAGACACACACTCACTCACACACACTCACAGACACACACAGACATACTCACACACAGACACACACACTCACAGGACACACTCACACAAAGACACAGACACACAAAGACACAGACACCCACACACAGACACACACACACACACAAAGACACACAGAGACAGACACACACACACAGACACACACACACACACAAAGACACACAGAGACAGACACACACACACAGACACACACAGACACACACACACAGAGACACAGACACACACACAGACACTCACACACAGACACTCACACACAGACACACACACTCACACAAAGGACACTCACACACAGACACACAAAACACCAGACACTCACACACACAGACACTCACAACACACAGACACACAAAGACACAGACAGACACACACAGACACACACCATACACAAACACACACACAGACAGACACAAAGATAAAGATCCCCCGTATAGCCTTAACAGACTGTAGGGGCAAGTTGTTGTTAGCGAGCACCAATGAAGGCCGGAACGGTACACGAGGGGCTGGTGGCCAGCACCACGCCCGACCGCCTTTGTCTCCCAGTGGCGATGTTTACACACCGCACCAGGTACTCATTTAAGGCTGAGTCGACCTAGGGGAGGCCCAGGAACCGGTTCAGATAATCGTCACTGGTGTTAGCCGTGAGCGGGAATCGAACCCGGGTCGCCAGGTTCATAGCGCAGCGCGCTAACCACTACACTACCGCTCCCCACAGACAGAAAACGAACACACGAACACACGACACACACACACACAGACCAACGACACCACTCACAGACCACACAGAACACACACAACAGACACACACCACACATACCACACACAGACACACATCACATACACACACACACTCACACACAAAGACACTCACCACAGACACACACCACAAGACACTCACAACCAGACACACACACAAGACACACACAAGTACACACACACACAGACACACCGTCACCAGCCACACACGACACCTCACACCAGAGACACCACACAGAGACACACACAGACACACACACACAAACACCAGTCACGCCCACAGACACTTCACACAGGACACACACACAGACACACACACAGAGGCAACACCACACAGAGACACACACAGACACACAGTCACACACACAGACACTCACACAGACACCCACACCAGACACACCAGTCACACACACAGACACTCACACAGACACCACACACACAACAGAGACACACACACAGAGACACCCACCCAGAACACACCGTCACCCACACAAGACACACACACACAGACACACACAGACACACAGACACACACACAGACACACACACACTCACACACAGAGACACACACACACACATACAGACACACACACAACACACACACACCAGACACCACACAGACACACACACTCACAACACACACACACCACAGACACACACACACACTCACACACAGACACACACACACAGACACATACACACACACAACACACAGACACACACACAGACACACACACACACACACAGACACACACACACACACACACACACACAGACACACAGACACACACACAGACACACACACACAGACACAGACACAGACGACTCTCCTCTCTCTCGCCAGAGGAGTTCGCGACGACGCGACCTGCGCTCGTGTTCTCTGAGGGGAGGGCGACGTCGCGTTTTACCTCAGACGTCGTCTTCCGCAGCGATAATCGCCACACAACAACAACAAAATCGACAAACAACAACAACAACAAATCCACAAACAACAACAAACAAATCGCTA